TCGAATATGAGCAATTCGGTCAAAGTCGAGCTCAAGTTCGTCGATCTGGCGCATGATGTCATGGTAGCGGGCGATTTCGGCATCGGCATTGTCGATAAGGTTGCCAGCGCGATCGTACACGTGCATTGTCACGATAGTAGACTGCTCCACCAAGTACTCGAGCTGTTGCTGGACGCGCTGCATGACCCGGTCGAAATGACGGCCCAGTGCGGTCAATGATGAGGCATCCAGCATCAACAGCCCCTGCGAGGAAGCTCGGCTTGCTGCGCGCGACGAGGTCGATCCGCCGGCGGCCGCTACCGCTTGCTGGCCTTGCCGTAGCAGCTGTATCTCCTCGTTGGTGAGCCCTAATTGCGTATCGTGCACCGCGCTGGTGGTGTTTTGGGACGACATATTGAGCCAGCCCAACGAGGCGGGGTAGAACCGTGGCTTCTATGCGCCGTGGGTAGCAGTGCTGATGCAGATCCGGGATCGTCGCCGTGCGGGCGGCCGGGCGGGTGGTCGAGACTCGGCCCTAGGCCGAATCTTGGAGGCCGGAGTTCCTGAGCGGCAGAGTCCCGCCGGGGGACGGCGCACAGGGAGAGAAAGTGATGCCCAGTAAAGAAGGGCAATCCTGTTGCCCCCGGGCTTGAAGAGGAGGGGCCAAGTGCTGCGGGGTAGAGGGCGGCAGCGGCGCCGCTGCGCTCGGAGAGGGGGTTTTGAAAGCGTCGGCGACGTCCGGAGCGGCGCACGGCGTCATTGTTCCGCGGCGGTCATTGCCATGGCAAGGGGAAAGCTGCGGATTGGGGACGATTTATGTTAGGACGACTCCCTATGACAAGAGGGGGTTGCGTCGAAGCGGCAAGCGGTCCGGGAGGACAGGGAACCTTTTTTTTTCTGGATGCAGCTCCTGCTGACTTTTGGGGATGGTCCTGGGGATAGGTCCGGTCGTTGCGGACGTGCTCTCCTCCACTTGCCGGAGCCCTTGACTTTCAAGCTCGGTCCGAATCCCACGAGGTTGTGGAATCTTCAATAAACCCGTCCTCTGGTGCGGTTGCAGCCCTGCTTCTGACGAGTGTTGACCGAGACATGCACGGTCAGAGTTGAGAATCCGGCGAGCTGGGAACGGGTCTGGTGTGCAGTAGAGCGTGGGTCTGTGTGTGCGAGTCCGTGTGAGCTCTTGATTGAACCCCCCTTCCCCCTCGCCCGGTTTGCATCAGCTGATTGGAAACCAACGCCGTTCTGGGATTGAGCCAAAAAGCAAGCCTAGGGTGGTGCAGAGCTCAGATAGCACAAGAAAAGCGACCCGTCTCGAGCGAGGAGTCGCGGGATATTATTAATATCGATAACATCGGCCACCCAGCGTGCTAGGCAATGAAACCTACTGCATTGGGGGGCAGGCGGGTGTCTGGCGGGCGACCAGCCAACGACGTGCCCAATTGTTGGCGGCTGGACTCGCCGGCTTTCTTCGGGAGATCGGACGATTCGTGCAACGACTGGAGAATGAAACTCGGTCGTAGAAGTTGAGAAGTGACGGTCTGGTCAACTCGTCTCCTCGGTTTCCCGAGCGGGAGGAACCCTTCTCCCAGTGGTTGACAATCGCCTTAGCGTCGCGAATCCTTGTCTGCCCAGGCCTGTTGCTTGGGATTCTCTAGCAGGGGTGGAAATCCGAGTCTGGTCTTGGTTCCATGACGACGAGGAAAACAACGAGAAACATTGAAGGTTGAACGTGATGGTTCTTGAGCATCGATCTTCTTCGAAATCCCGAGGACGGGTTTGCGCATCAGCCTCACCTTCGCGCCAGTGACCCTGGAGGCGCCTACGCTGTGAGGCGTGGGGACATTTTGCGCCAATCTTGGAGCACGATGAAGAACTCGGAGGAGGAACACCATCGATGGAAATCTTGCAGGATGGAAGCCCCCGGTCTTGAGTGTGGCTCGGAGGTGTGTTGGGAGAGCCTGAAACGACGATATGCCGGCAGCTGGCACAGTGCCTAGCGTCGTGGATATCGGGTTGATGAACCACTGGGGCAATCCACTCGCCATTAACGCCCACATTGCCATATCCCACCACCGTACTTGCCTCGCCGGCTCAGGGAGGTCACATTGCCGAAATAAAATACCCGGTATCACGCCGACCTCCTTATACAGCCCACCATCTGGAACCGATGTGCCTGGCAAGGCTACGACAATGATCGAATCATGGTTCGCTCACCTTGACGTTCCCGGTGAGGAATGCAGCTCACCACGTGGGGAGCGATCGAGCGGCGCCACGAGGGAGATCGGATGAACCCGCCACGAAACCTAGAACATTACAGACGTCGGAGCAGTTCCTTCCGAGCAGGCGGCCATAGCCAAGATCCCGGGACCACGTTCCCACCAAACAGCCCGCATATCTGCAGCTTAAAAGATGATATGAGGTACGCTTTAGCCCAGATAGATGCAGGAGACCCTAGATAGTAACATTTGACAGGCCTAGCAGCACGCACAAGACTTCCCGGGCGCGGGTGTAGCAGTGATGACTACTTCCAAGCCGTTTGTCCGCATCGTCTTCCAGGTTAGACGGCAAGAATCACCGCAATCACGTCAATTAGCCTGGCGAACTCCTCATCTCCTAGATGGCTACAGATGATAATTTTTCCGGTGCTTGGGTTTTGTCTGAGCGGCGCGACATGACCTCCAACAACGACCGAGCATGTTTATCGAGTATAAGTTACATCATTAGGCCAGACATCTCACTCGGGGGGTCATCAGGAAGCCTAAACGGCGCCTTTCTATTGCCGGGTCGCTCATCGTACGGAGCAATGCTGTCCCCCTCGAGGTTGGCCCTTGCCGCCATCGCTGTTCTTTCGGGATCGGCATTCGTTGACTCGACAATCCTTCAAAATGGCCAAGTACGGATTACGGATTTCAAGAATACAGCCGTTGACAGGAGCACCCTTTCCTTGAGGACGTATCCGCGGAACGCGACCGAGATTTCCTACCAAGGGCGATGGGACTCGAATTACGTGTCTTGGTGGTCGTAAGTGGCCTGGATTGCGCAGACACTCAGGGGTTCTGACATGTGTAGTGCCCCGGGTCTGAAGTTCGGTTACACTGGATCCCAAGTTGGCATTACGTTCGGCCCATCGACAAGCCCTGGGGTGCTGATCGGGTACCGTATTTCGGGGCTGGACTGGCACTTCACGAATGTGACAGGCGGGCAGACGCACATGCTCGTCGAACCCAGGACTCCGGGTGTGGACTTGACCGCACCTATCAACCGTTTGTTCTCTTCTCTTGGTGGCTTTGTTTGCTGTCTCGGAAGCTGCAAGTGCAGCCTATCCGTCGGAGATACCTACGAAAAGTGATCGGGTCGTGGAATGCATCCTGACGTTCACTACAGCCACGACATTCGAGATGCGCGTTACGAATTGGGCATACGGAGTGCAGATCGAAGCTGTGCACGTAGGTGAAGGCCAAAAGCTGATCAAGCTACCCGATGCTCCTCGGCGAATCGAGGTCATTGGCGATTCCCTTGCGGCTGGGATGTATACCTCCTATGAAGGGCTTTCGAGCTGGGCTTAGTATGGTCCTTTTCCTCCGGGTCTTCGAGCTTATGGACCTTGCCCCCATCTCGTGGTGCTAATACGAGGACAGTGGTGTCGGAGCTGGGCTGGGCAATACCGACTACTCCATCACAGCCTATCCTGGGATATGTGGTGAGTATGAGTCCTCCGGTTTCTTTGCTCATGTGACGAAGGGGGCATTCTTGCTCCAGAGACGTAGAAATTTATTCCGTTGGGCATTTCGTGAGCTAATGGTAGTATAGCGGCTGACCAAGACTGCTGGGGCAACCCTCGTGGTCAAGTTCATCAGTGGTTTTATACAAGTGATGTATGCCATATTGCCCCTATTCCTGCCCCTTAGCCTCTTGAGCGGTTGTCTCGGACTGGCGAGGAAGAGTCCCCTCCTGCGACACTCGGGAATATACTACAATGAAAAGTAGCAGCTAACCTTACCCTCAGACGAGTTGGCGCGCTACTGAGGCACATGGCAGCGAGTATTGCCGATAAGAGATGATGTCAAGGGATCCTGACGTCTTTGCAGATATTCCCGAGCCGTGGGACTTTAGCAAACACCCCGCGGCTGACCTAGTCATCATCAACATCGGTACAAACGATCAGAACTCTCACAACAATGTCTCAGCACCCGTCTACATCGACGCTCTCGCCAAGATCGTTCAAGGAGTGCACGGAAAGTATCCAAACGCTCAGGTCATCGTTATGGTAACTGAACACCCCCGAGCGTGGCCTACGGTTTCCTAACATTACCATAGTCCCTCTGGCTTGGTTTCTCGCAGACTGGTAACACGTACGCATCTGTATCTTACAAGGGCTTCGTGAACGAAGTCCGTGACATGATCAAGATGTTCAACTCGGACGAATACCTGAGCAACCCAGTCATCTACGACGGGGTGACCAAGAAGATATCACAAACGAACAAGAAGACGAAGCCCTTTGTCCATCTCTTCAACACCACAGGGATCTTACAGCACAATGATATCGCACCACAATGGCATCCTACCGACGTTGGAGCTATCAAAGTCGCAAGCCACTTGCTACAGTTCATCAAGATGACATTTGGTTGGGAACTGCAAGCTACTGGGCCAGAGTGAGCCCAACACCCTAGGATGGCGTTTTTTTCCCTCGCACGGCTGACATGACGTAGGGTTTTTCACGAGACTTTGTACTGGAATGACGAGCCAAACTACTGAAGACGCAGTTAGACGAGGAAGTAGCGGCGGGCGAGGTGGCAAAACTGTCTCGGGGTCTTATTCCGAGAGCCTGCACAACCTTATCCGAGGGGCTCACCATGACCGCTCCTGCGCTCATCCATCCTACCGCCCAGCTTGATGGATGAAGCCATATTGCTCTCGACCAGTGAGCGTGGGCAGCTGTGGGGCTAGCACGCAAACCTGAGGGCTGAAAGTGGATCACACAAAAAGGAGACGGAACTGCTAAGGCAGCAGTCAAAAAGGAGAGGTCGTACCCGGAATCGAACCGGGGTTCCCGGAAGGGCCGAAGCCATCAATTGAAGACAGAATCAGAATCCGATGTGATAACCGCTACACTATACAACCATTTCGTGTACTGATTGTTGAAGAAAGGTGTCTTTGTTGGCGCCCAACAACAACAGCCTGACAACGCATCTGCTCCGACCCAATGGACAAAGGGGGAGGATGCCAGCTCTAGAGGAAAGCTGTCTTTTCCGCCGCACGTCGCCCCAAGTGGCCCGCTATTGGGTTGGTCTGAATTTCACTGCCTTGATCCAAACCTTCGCGGAGGCCGGTTGATCAACAACGCGACGAGACATGCCGGGACCCCACAATGAGCTATGCCATTGCAACAGAGAAGACAGAGGTCCTCTCATCCCCATTCAGACACTGTGTAAGACGCCACCGTCGGATGTGCACCCAATTTCATGGGTGAGGGCCCGACTGTTGGTGTCACCGGCTTCGCCCTCACCCAACTCATACCCCAGCCAGTCAACGGAAAGCCCGATCTATATCACATAATGCCGCTCAACGGAGGGCACCAGCATCTATCCTGAAGCATGCATCTGATGAAGCTGTATAGCCGTCGTTCCCATGACCGTCAAGCACGAGACACCCGACAAAGAAGCATGATGTTCTGTCAGACCGTGCAGGATCCTGATTCTATCAATGACCGCGAACCAAAGCCCGATGTCCCAAAAGAGCCCAGATGCTCACTCACCTATCGAGGAAAGATTAGATATGCTCAGTGGAAGCCAGAGTCACTATCCGCCGGAAAAAAACCTTCCATCTGGTCACCGCGCCATGGCTATCTCGACAGCCACCGTTGCACACTCCTCTCAGTCACGACGAGCATGGCCTTATCCAACAACGAGATCGCCGAGTAAAAGCGGACTAACATCAGGGGGCGCGTATAATATGAACATTGAGAGACACGCAGTTGCCCCGGGCTATTGAGGTACCACAAAGCGTCGCCAGAGATGTTAGTGATTAGCAGCCGATCACTACCCAAAGCAAGAACATCAACGTCCCGCCATCACCGCCTCAGCCTCACTCAATATTGCTGCCTATTACAATTCAAGCGGCCAGATAGGTAGGGGCGGGATAATACGACTTCAGCGCACCCGATACCAGCACTGACCTCGCCTCGTCTCGCTCGCCTTGCGCGCGCGCGTCAGCTTCAGCTCGCATCCCTTGCACAGCGACAAGAGCAATATTATGCCCTCTATACCTCGGACAACCCAACACGTGGAAGATTTCCCTTCCTTCGGTTCCCTCAACCTTCCCCTTCTCAATAGCAAAACCTGCATTGAGTGCTATGATGACCGTCATCCCGGCCTCCCATCATGCCGTTCCCAAACGAGCTTGGGTGCGGCGCTTTGCCGGTCGAAGCGAGATGGTATGCGCCAGGTATGATGACTACAACAGCAACAACAGCAACAACAGCAACAACAGCAACAACAACAACAGCGGCAATTCCAACCGCGGCGGTGTGTGTCACTGATGATGAGCGAGCCCTTATTCAGCGGTAGCAGTTGTTTTCCATGCGTTCGGCAGCTCGCCATGCCGTCCCACGTCGAAACCGCTCCCAAGAAAAAAGGGGTCGTGCTCCTCAGCGGTGCGGCGCGGCTTTGAAACGCGCACACGTCGCAAGTCGGCCGAACACTACCCCCGGGGTTTTTAAAAGCCCCCATCAGGCTGAGCCGAGGAAGCGACCTTTCCCGCAATGCGCCGTTGCCCAGCTCCCAGCCTCGTTGGCAAAGCCAACGAATCACTGCATGAGGACAATACAAGGGGGGGTGGTCGAGACAAAACTGGGGAAGGAAAATGATGTGCTTGTGCTTTTGACACCTTACCCTTCTCAGCCCAGCGCTAAGACACTTTTGCATCTGTTGTCTTTTGCCATCCTTTCCCCTTTCTCTTGTGCCCAGCGCAGTGACAGAGGTGACTTGTCTCGGGATCATGTCCCAAATGTCTCACCTCGTCTTCGCCTGTGCACAGAGGCTGCAGGTACGGGCGTTGCTGCTGCGCACACACGTTCGTCCCAACAGACCCGACATGTCGGGTTTTGTTTCGCCGTCAAACGTCACGCTCAACGTGGACAGGAGTGCATGATCTGGAGACGAGATGAATATCGTTGCTTTGCTTTGCTGCCGTCCAAGCCACCCACACACGTTTCCATCTGAATATTGGGACGGCGCATGACATGGCACCATTGCCAATTGACAATGCAAACGAATGCGGGTTCCCGGCTCTCTGGGAGGCAGCGCCATCGGTTGTCACTGACATTAGCGCTCAAAGGCGGCGCCAGCCATCGTTTCAGACCCAGGCGAGGTTATATCGGGCGGCATTTCTAGTCTGGGCCGAGGGAGGCGCTTTTAAGATGCTGATCACGTTGATCTGGATTTTCCGGGGCGCGCATTCCGCGCCCCCCGAGGGCACGCGGGTGCGCGGGATAGGGGAGTTCAGGGGAGGGTCTGGCCTGGGCTTGAGGTGGAAATAGAGTCCGAGCGTTTCAAACTCAGGGGCAGCACCAGCGCGGGTGACGGACACGGGTGCCCGCACCCGCGCCTCGCTTGTGGGAGACGGGTGTTTCCTCCCAGAGATGGGGAGGAGTCCCGAGAGCTGCCCGCTGTCGTCCGACATGTTGACAGCGCGGTTGTTCGGACGCCGGATTACTGGATGCGGTGTTGGCTCTTCGGGAGCATGCATTGATGTTGATCCGATAACCTGGTGATGGCTTTCCATCTCCGCCGCATTGCATGTTTGTTGACGTGCCAGTGGCGATCAGATGAAACAATAGATCTCGAAGAGCGGCTGTTGTGGCTTTGGGGGCTTGAGACTTGTGCGGCGCTCACTGCATTCCTAGTGTGTTTGCTGTTGGGAGCGACCCAGCCTTTGCTGCTCGTGGCCTAGCAGGATGCGCGCTGCAAGCCGCATCACGGCCAGAGGTGAGAGGCTGAAGTTAGTGTGGTTTATAATGGTTAGCTAAGAGGGCTTGGGATGGTCTGGGATAGGCGCGTTTTTTGGGGCCGTAAAACCTCGAGCTGGACCGTTAGGATTCACCTTACTGAACGCCTAGCAGGGGAGCCTCAACGGACCCTCGAATTCCGTGATTCCTTCTTGCCGGGTGCCGGGAACGAGTGAGCTGCAGCTCTAGGCGATGGTGATGATGAAAAGCCACGCATGCCGAGCTGATTTCCTAATTCGATGACGGCCCTGAGGTTCTTTTCTCCCCACACCATCTCGAAAGGCATGCCGTGCGTCTTCGAATGACATCAGCCGTCGATGGGCTCTGATGGGTTCCAATCGGTCATCATTCCAAGGAGGGGGATGGCCCCGAGGCCCCCGTTCCCGCAGACGATCCCCGAGATCCCTGCGGGCAAGATGGGCGAACCAGCAAATATTCCGCGCCTTGGCGCACTGTTGATGGACCGTCGTCAGCGAATGAGGGGACCCGCCAGAAGGGCGCTAGAAGAAAAAGCAACAGTGACGAAAACCCCGCAGACCCGAATCCGCAGCCTTCTTCTTGGGCAGAACTGGCAGCAGCGCACCACGAGCTAACCAGCAATGATCTGCACCCCGAGCAGTTGTGCGCGTGGTTTCCTGTTTAGAGACCACGTGCATGGCAGGTGGCGGACCGAATCATCAATTCATTCGACGTTGTTGTCGTGGGCTGGTACCTCTATTGTCCACGGAACCGAGAGGCACTTCCAAGCTGAGCCGGGTTTGTCTGGTCTTCCAGTGACAGGAGCAGCAAGGAAACCCTCGGCTGCAGGAGCAACACGAGTTGAACACCGTCCCACTCGACCATGCCGTCCCACAGTTGAGGCTCTCTCGGATACCACCACCTCGACACTCCACAGCAAACTCAACAGCGTGAGATTTTTCCAACGCTCACGCAAAACTCGGGGTGCCGTTGGAATTCTCTCCAGAAAAGAAAGTGCCGCGCTTGTGGGCCGCTGATGCTTGCGTGCCCCAGGCCCCACATTCTCCACCCTCAACCCTGATGATCTGCGATAATCCCTGCACTGTCTCAAGCCACCGCCGCCTCTCGACACCAGAGACCAAGTTCCCCGCTCGAGCACAACAGCATAAGCCTGCAATTTGGACCACTGCGTCCAAACAATTTCAGTGCTCGCCTGTGCATCAACGCAAACATCGATCGGTATCTCCGATCCAGCTTTGACCAGCTGACATTATCGTATATGCCCGACCCGGCCGACCATCACCCACGGTTCAAGTAAAGTTACCCGTCAGCGAGCTAAAGTGAGAATCCACATCGTCCCAAACCCGGAAAGGAAGGTCAAGACCTTGTCTCTCACACGAAGGAGGGAAAAAACACCATCCGAAGACACCGGACGAAAAACGCCAGTGTCAAACCCGCAAGCTTTACGTCATGCCCCAGCCTGCGTCGTCACTCATCCACTCTTCATCCCAACGGGTACCCTTGATCCACCCGATGGAGTTGGATGAACGAGTCAACCCGCGCAAGAAAATGAACCCAAACCTCCAAACCCAAGACCCATGATGCCGGTCTCTTAAATTCCAGCTTACGAATCCGTCCCAAAAACTTTCTTCCAGAATGCGACGCAGAGAAAACTACCCGGTCCCACATACCGGGATTCCCTCACATGCCAAACTCCTCCCATCACGCGGAAATGGAAGCACAATGTGCCCATTCGCCCAACAAGCAAGGGAGAGACAACCACACACACCCGCTCCGGCCAGTCCTGCCCGAGGAAGTCGCTCACGCACACAAACCCGACACCTTGTCCCCGGCGTCTCCACAACCCACTTCCCCCCCTCCCTTCAGCCTCAGCGCAAGGTGGAAACGTGGAAACCGCAGCAGATCACCATCTGCATCAACTGTGCAGCTACTCCATAATGCTAATAATCGTAATAAAAAGAATACCTCTTCAGTCTTAAATCCCATTCTCCATTCAGCCCGGCCTTCCGGATATTCGGGGTTTGACTGTGTACTGCGCATGCTAGTTGCTCCTGTAAAGTAAACATGAATCGCCGACTCGAGAATCCCATGTTCGCCGTCCGCCCGTCGTCCCGAATGTAAATCGCCGAGCAAAGTG